CAAGACACCTTTAAAAAAAAAATCATTTTATTTTAAAGTAGTAAAAAATAATAAAAAAATAATGCAGATCACTTGCTTCTGGTTTATTCCCCCCTTCCTACCTGGGTGCAGCCCCGGCCCCACTGCGCTGCTCTGCCCCGCAGTGCCCATGAACTTGCTCAGCTCTGCTCTGCTCAGCTCTGCACTGCTCAGCTCTGCTCGGGGCTGCCCCGTGTCCCCAGTGAAGGTGGCACCTGAGCAGCCCCGCGGGGCTTCCACTCCTGACAGGTACTGGCCGAGGCCCACGAGCAGAATACGGCTGATTTGCAGCAGGGTGCTAGCTTTGCCAGGTGAGAAACGGAGCAATCCAGCCCAGGGCTGCTGAAGAGACCAAGCAAGCTCCAGAGAGGCGTGGGGGCAGTTTGCTGCTTTCCTGGCAGCATTCCACTGCTATCTGCGTTTCCAACAAGGGAGAAGACAACAGCTGAGTCCAGAGCATCTTGTGCGATTGCACCATCCAGGATATACCCCAAACAACAGCAGCTGCTCCCAGGCAGCAAGTGGGGAATTTCCCTCACTGTGGTAGGGTAAGGCACATGCTGTGTTTGCATTCCCACAGCACCTTTGGCTGCTGATTCCCTAATGTCACACGTGCTCCTCTGGCTTAGAGAGGATGCAGAGAATGGTGGTGAGCTGAACCAGCAGAAGGGATGTAGAGATAACCCTGCTGTCTACTCTGCTTTTAGCCTGGAGGAATCTATAACCCAGAGAAGACTCATGCCCTATTTTTTTTAACACCCTCCCAAGCCAGGAGATGTGGCAGCATCTCTCCATCCTCTTTGCAAAAGAAGAAACCACAGCAGGGTAAGGCAGCGAGGTGTCAGGCACAACAGCAGAAGCAGGGATCCACAACCTGGTCTTCCAGCACCTCTTATGCTCATTCTTCAGCCCTGAAACCAGACACTGGGCAGGACAGCATGGGAATGGAGTGCCAGGCAGGGATCCCCCAGCCTCAGCCTTGAATGCTGGAAAGGCTCAGCAAGTGGGGAAGCCCCTGCTCTCCCACTCACAGCCTTCTACTGTGCAAAGGACTGAGGGAGCGGGCAGGCTGGGGAAGCCCGTGCAGCCCTCACATGCCTGGGCACTTGAGGTAATGCTCAGCCTCCCGATGCTGCGGGGGAGTGGGGCGCGTTAGATCACATGAGACCTCAGGTGCCCGCAGCAAGAATAGATATTTATTAGAGTGAGTCTTAGCTCTCCTCACCTCACACTTAGTCTGATGGCGTTTGGGAGCACCAGAGGATGCTCTGTCCACTGTACAGTGTGAAAAGGAGTCCTCCCTTGCTCCTTCCTTGGATAAGCTGGAGACCCCCAGAAGCCAGACCCATGGCGGGGAGGTGAAGTTTTGGGCACAAATACCAAAGAAAAGCCTCCCCTTTGTAGTGCTCATAGCGCCACCTTCTTCTCTATGGGAAGGCAGCCGGAGGCCAACAAAACTTTTCCAAAGAGGAGAGGGGGGAAATAAATCTCCCAAAGTAGCTCTTGCTCCCACTGAACTGCAGGCAGGCAAGGTCCCAGCAGGCAATGATGCAGAGTGAGGAGGCAGCCTGAAGGGCCAAAGGAGTCCAGCCGCTCACTCAGAGCACACAACAGGCTTCCCCGAGATCTTCAGGTCATCGAAGGGCAGCAAGGCGAGGAGCTGCAAAGGCCAAAGGTGTGGATGTGTAAGGATCCAGGGTCATGTCTCCATCAGGCTTTGGCGGGGTCTCAGACCTGCCCAGCAGCCCAGCAGCCTCCCATCTCCCCATGGAATTGCCAGAAAACCCTGCCTGGGCTTTCCCTAGGGCTCAAGGCAACAGGCACCCACACACCCTCAGAGCCAACTGTGCACTCTATGGGGGAGGATGGGCACAGCTAGAAACACCTCCTAGAAGCTCTCCCTACAAATTGTCAGACTCCTGCATCCCCCCTGACAGGCTTGCAGAGCCACAGGCCTCCCCCCTCACAGACTCACATCGTCATGGCCATCAGCCAGGTCCTGGGCTGTCTCGTTTTCCATGTTCCTCAGCAGGGTGTCTGCCCCGGAGTGTGAGAGAATGGCGGCGATGGCAGCATCCTTGCGGCCCACAGCCAGGTGGAGCGGGGTGCACCCATTGTACATCTGGGCATCCACATACGCCCCGTTGCGCAGCAGGAACTGGACGGCCTTGCGGTTGTGGCACTCCACGGCCAGGTGCAATGGGGTCTTCCCACTCGTACCCTCCTGCAACCCACACACCACAAGGATATGGGTGCAAGGTCCCCTCAGACGGGCCCCACAGCACCCAACTGCACCCTCCTGACAGGGAGCAAAGGGCGGACTCTTTTTTTTTGCAGTTATAGTACCTAACAGTTTTCCTCTTCCTCAAAATTCAGTGCCTCCAAGCCCCAGAGCAGTCCTGCCACCACGTGGCAGTGCCTGTCCCAAGACTGGAGGGAGTCCCCAAGGCAGCAGCGCACTGTGCCCAACCTCACCCAAACGTCTCACTATGCCCCCAGCCTTACCCGAACATCAATGTTGGCGCCACTCTCCAGCAGCAGAGACATCATTGGGATGTTCCCCTTCAAGGTGCTGATGTGCAGACAAGCCAAGCCTGGGGTGAGGAGGCAGGAGAGAAAGCCATAGTCAGCCTGGACCACCCCGAGGCACACCAACCCTGCGCCCACTCTGCTGCGCTCCCAGATCTCTGCATACACAATGCACGGTCTCTGCCCCAACCCAGCTATTGGCTCCACACTGGGCTGCCCTCAAGGTCTCACCTTGCCAGTTCTGGAGCTGCAGGTCCTGGTGGTGCCCATGGGGCTGGGTCGTGCCCTCTGGCAGGGCTGTGCCCTGCAACAGCTGCTGGGCACACCACAGGCGCTGCTGCTCACAGGCCAGGTGCAGTGGGGTGTTGCCGTTGCGGTCCTGCAGCCCAGGGTTCACTCCTTTGTGGATCAGCGCCTGGATGACACTGGGCTGCTCCAGGTACACGGCAAGGTGGAGGGGGGTCTAGAGAGGAGGTGGGGACAGGAAATTAGGAAAGTGCAGCAGCCCATCCCTGTCCCAGGGTTAAACGTGGATGGCACCAGGGGACGCATATGGTTTGTTGCCCCCTGCATCTCAGCTTGAAGAACACCCATGGAGGCAGGTCTCACTTTCCCAGGTTATCTACCCTGCCACATTCAAGCCATGCCTGCTCCACCCTCTGTGGCTGCCTGCAATGTCCTGGTTCCTCATAAAGGGCCCCTTCACCCTGCAGTGCTGGGAACTGTCACATCTCTATCTCAAGGTATCTCCCACACCCTACTTTCCCTCCCTGAAAAGGGGCTGCTCACAGGGGACCTTCACCATTCTCTGGAGGAAGTAGGTTGGGGGTCCTGGGGAAAGGGCAGATGGACTGGACATCTACCCGAGGAAGTGCATTGGAAGTCCTGGGGAACAGGCAGATGGATGGGACATCTACCCAGGGTGCAGCCTGCTGTACCTGCCTTCCTTCCTCCCATCTTCTGCCTATCACATCCACATACCTGGAAAAGATCATTTTGGATCTCCAGCACCTCCCTGGGCAGCTGAGCGATGCAGCAGAGTGCCACAGCTGGAACACAGTGGATAATGGCTAGGTGAACCAACCTACAAAGGGGATGAAGTGAATGAGGAAGGGGAAAAAAACAACAACGAAAAACAGAGTCCTAAGTGGCATGCTCAGGAGTAAACGTCCTCCACTGCTGCATGGAGGAATAACCTCCCTGCCTTCCCCAGACCCCTCCCCACCAGCTCAGTGCCTCTCCATGCTGCCCTCTCCCTTAGGAAACTCAGCAGCAGGGCAAGGCAGGAACACATCCCGAGGCTCCTCAGGGCAGTCCTTTGCTCTGATCCCCATGCAGAATGGACCCTCCTGTAGTCACTAAACACCACAGGTTCTTCCCTTGCACCCTCAGAGCATGTGCAGGGCTTAGACCCGGCACTGCCCAAAGCCTGGCCTCCAGGAGCCAGACTTTTTCTCTCCAGGTCCAGAGAGCCTGGGAGGTGTTTTGCGGAGGCCGGGGGCTGGGTTTGGCAGCTGCGGAGGGAGATGTGGGCTCTGGCAGCTGCTTGGGGAATTCCAGTTCCCTGCTGTCAGCTATACACTGAACTTCTGCTTTCCCCTCCACGAAGGCAGGCAGCCAAAGCCCAGCAGGAGCCCAGCGCTGATCCAAGATCACCTGCACAGCACGTTCCCATGCCAGCGGATCTGCTGGCCCACACCAATTTCCTCTTCTTTCCTCCACATCCTTCCCTTTCAGCACTGCCGTGGCAGGGCTGGCACGCAGCCTGCAGGCACAGAGGGACATCAGAGGTGCAGCCATCAGAGTTCAGTGGACAGCAGGGAGCCCTCAGGATGGTGGCCCCCACAGCCATGTGGTTGCCAGGCAGCCCGGAGTCCCCCAACCCAAGGGGAGGTTTTATTTCCAGCCAGGCCTCACGCTGGCCCCCGTGCAGTCAGAACAGAAGTGAGAGCATGACAGAGGCAGAGCCGAGAGGGAATTTCCAGTCTCTTCCGCCAACCTGCTGCACTCCTGGGTCCCGCCTGCGCAGAAGGACTGGCCCCCCCAGTCCAGACCTGGCCATGGTGGGCAGCAGTGAGGAGAGGGCAGGAGCAAGGAGCAGGCAGGAGCGAGGAGCCGGCAGCAGTTCCCACTCTGCAGAGCATGGCAAGCGCAAGCTGAGCCTCCCACCACCTCCTCGCTGCTGTGCTGAGGCCACTGGTGGCTTTTATCTCTGTCAGGGATCAGCTCCAAAATGAAGGCCAGGCTGTAAGTGGGCTCCTGTTACCCACACTACTCGGTGGATGCAGGCAGGGCCAAACGATGTGGGGTAAAAGCAGTGCCAGCCCTGGCTGCTGCACAGCCCATCTTTGGGGATGCTACCTGCAATGTGGGGGATGGACAGCATCCCTCCACAGGTGGGAAGGCAAGACTTGGCCCTAAAGCATTGCAGCAAAGCAAGGCTGAGGCTGCCCTGTCACCAGCTGCAGGGAGGACATGAGTGTGATGCGAAGCCCAGTCCCCAATATGTCCTTTATCCACCTTCTGCCAAGCACTACCCAAGGATCAAGCCAACACCCAGGACCCTGGGCACCCTCAGCCGAGTCTCATTTTGGTGGCAAAGAAGGCTGGGTCCTCTTCGCACTGCTGCCAAGGTAAAGGCTGACAGGAGAGGCTGCATCCTCAGGGAAGGCCCAGTTCACACCTCGGCAGGGAATTCCCTGCTGGAAGGACAGGCCATCAACATCTGTCTCTGCACCACCATGGAGTGTCCCCTTGCCACCCATGCTCCCCAGGGCAGGAGAGAGGGCTGCAAGCGGGGCTGAGAAGCCCCATGGGCAGGGTCCAGCTGCCTTCAGCAGACCACAGGGCAGGGGCACAGCTAAGGGGCCAGGCCAAGCTAGCAGTAGGAAGAAGCAAAGGGCAGAGTTGAGTGACCAGCTGCAAGAATACCCCTCCCCGCAGTGGGCTCTTGCTGACCCCAGCCTTGGGATCATACCAAGGGACAGTCCCTACTGCAGGTGGCACCTGCATGGAGGTGTCCTTTGCCTGCTTGTAGGGACAGCCCCTGTTTCTCCAAACCCGCTCCCAGACACCACGTGCAGGAGGAGGCCACAGGATCTGCCTTTTTCAGGTACAGTAGAGATAAGACTGCTCAGATGGGGGACTTTCCAAGGCAATTCAGCTTGAACTTTAAACCTCTGCCGCTTTCACTTTCCAGAGCCGCACTGGGCTCCTGGGGGAAAAGCGCAGCGGCTGGGGTCATGCCCTGCTGCAGTCAGCCCCTGCACCCCCAGGAATCCCCCTAGGTCCCCCTGCCACTACCCACGCCACACCATGTCATCACATGGGGACAAGTGGGGTAGTCACCCGGGGGAGGTGGAAACCCCGGGCAGCCCTCTCCACTGTTGCCGGCATCTCACTCTTCCTGGCTTGGGTGGCTTTGCAGCTTAATGAGGCAGCTGAGCAAGTTTGGGCATTTATGCTGTGGAGGTGATGAGGTGATGACCCTCACCTGGTCAGAACTTTCACCTCAAAGCTGGGATGTGCCTGCTTCGAAGGATTGCTTTCCCCCTCCTCCCTCTTCCTTCTTCACCCAGGTGCAGCCTTTTCCTGTGCTTTCATTTCTGCATTTGTTTCCCCCTTTCCTCATTGCCAGCCCTCAGCTTCCTGAAATGGCTGCAAGAGCCATGAGCTCCTCAGGGGAATTGCAGCAAAGCCACCGGGTTGGGATGAGCCCACCAACAGCGCATGTGTGCTGAGGCACTCTGTGCCACAGGCAGTGATGCCAACCAGGAATCGGGATTGTCTCCTGCTAACCCAGGAGACCTGAGGCACAGAGGCATTGTGCCAATCTCCGCTTTCTTCTAAGAGCCAAGGCTACAAGCACACCTCTCTGCCACAGCAGCCGCACAGTCCAGCTGCCGACAGGCTGCTGCAAGCTGGAAGGCTGCATTCACAGATGAGCCCTGGAGCCAGGGTGTGGTGATGGAGAGATACCCACTCACTGCCAGACACCTCTCCTCACCCAGCCATGGCGCTGTGCCTTCTCCAGAACAAGCCCCCCACCCCACCATGTTCAGAACCTTGTCCTTCCCTCAGCTGTCTGCATGCCTCTCCTCTGCTTGCCTGCTCGCTCCCTCCCTCCCTCCCAATGTTCCTGCCTGCAGCCACGGAGGTGGGTGCCCAGCTGGGACTTTTAGAAAGGGCAACGGGGAGTTTTGGAAAGGGCAAGGGAATGAAGGAGCTGTGGGCAGGGGAAATGTGGCCAACCTGGGCCTGACAAACAGAAGGGCTCATTCTCAGCTTTTCCACTTGCTCACCAGCTCCATCCTGGCACAAGGGGACTTGTTAGCACTCTGAATCGCAAAGGTCACACAGGATATCCCTGGCACAAGGTGATCTTTCCATCCTCTGAGAGATAACAATCCTAGAGCAGAAGGGTCAGGGCCATCCTTGGGTCTGAGTGATCTCAAGTGTCTGGTGGGAAAAATGTCCACATCTGAGGACTGGAGGCAGGAGAAGGGAGTAACGGTGACACCCAGCTCTGACACACAAGAAGAACTGATGAAGTGTTACCAGTTCTCCAGCTATCCTCCTCCCTTCCTCTAGAAAAGGCTCTGACCACGCAGATCCCCCCATGTGTGGAGCAAGACACTTTATCCTCAGAGCAGCTTCTCCCTTCACCCTCTCACCCCAGAAGCCCTAGGACAAGAGATCCAGCATTCAGTAGAATTTGCTTTGACAAATTTTTCTCCCTCTCTTGATAAGGTCCCTGTCTACAGTGAGAACAGTTTATTCCCAGCTCCTTATTTTGGCTGAGTGGAGCAGTAGGAAATCATGCAAACAACTCACACAAGAGAAACTTGTTCAGGGAGGAAATGGCCCCAGCAGCAATAGAGAGGAGAGCGAGGGAGGAGGAAAAGAGTAGGGGAATTCCGCACTTACCCTGCTGTCCTGTTCCAGCCCTGTAACCTGCACTGCTAACCGCTTCCTCAGCCATCAGCACGAACCTCTGCCAGCAGGCTCAGCAAGCACAGCTCCAGCCTGCCCTGCAGCCCTCTGCCAAGCTAGCCCAGCTCCCTTCCTCCCTGCATACCAGTGTGATGCTGCCCTGCTCCATAAAGCTGTTCCAGCTGCCCTCTGGCAGCTGCAAGGGAGCAGTGGATCCCAGCCAGATGTAGGCTCATCCCCATGTCTTCTGCTCCTGCCCTGGGCCTCCTGTTCTGCAGGTTTCTTCTCTCCTTCCCTGAGCAAAGTCCCTTCAAGCCATTGGGTTCAGCCTCTCTCATCTCCAACCTGGGCAAAGGCTGCTTCCCAGCCTGCTGTTCCTGGGGCAAAAGGAAGGGGTAGGAAGCAATGAGGAAGATGGGGAGACAGCCTCCACCTTTCCTGTGGTGGTCTGCAAGAGGATCTGGTCTGGGTGCTGGTGGACGAGGGGTGCTGGAGGCTGGCTGGCGGGGGAGGCATTTTGAGAAGGCTGTGGGCATCTCCTTTTTCAGTGAGGTGGGGGAGGAGGAAGAGGTGGGGAGATGAAGGTGCCCCTGTTCACCCACATACAGCACCTCTGGCCTCACATCTTCTAGTCTCTGCACCCACACATTTGAGCATTTTGCTCTATTTCTGAGTAGATGGTTGGTCTGGGATTGCAGAAGCACTAAACATCGGATACATGCAAACTGCTTCCTGTGAAATGAGGGGTCTGTCCTGCAATATCATCACTGCAGGGATGGGCCAAGCCAGAAAGCAGGTCAACACATCCCAGGAGAGCCTGGTCATGGGCTGAGAAGCAAGATGAACAATTGCAATAAAAGCAGCAAACATCCCCAAAAGGTCTATGGGCTGTGGCAACTATATTTCAAATGGAGCAAATTCCATTCTCACTCATTAGGAGGCAAATATATTTTCCTACAGTTTCTGTACGCACAGAGATATCGTGAGGTCAGAACAGGCTCTTGCAAGAGGACATTGCCTGGACTTTGCCAGAGACTGTAAAACACACCCTAGCAATGATTTACAGCCCTGCACATACCCTCACTGCCTCAGGATTTTCTTTTAACGAAGCACTAGCCATGGGTCTAGGATATCTCAGGGCCCCCCTTCAGT